AGTTCGATCGCACCAGCGACTGAGCAGTTCCGCATTAAAAATTATCGACCAATAAGTCTCGTTCCTATCGCCGCCAAAATAGCTGAAAGAATCATATTAGATAAGCTCCAGTCATTTGCTTTCGAAAATGACCTTATCCCTAAGAATCAGCATGGATTTCTCCCTGGTCGATCAATAATGACCAACCTTCTCCACTCTCTCAACGATTGGACTCAGTATCTGGACACCAAGACTCCTGTTGATATAATCTACTTAGATTTTTCTAGGGCTTTCGATCGCGTACCACATAGAAGGCTTCTGTTTAAGTTGGAATGTATGGGAATAAGAGGCGAGTTGTTACTGTGGATTAAGGCTTTTCTCACCGGGAGGACTTTCGCTGTGCGCGTCAATGATAGCCAGTCTCACCCTCATCATGTAGCAAGTGGAGTTCCTCAAGGCTCTGTCTTGGGGCCAGTGCTGTTCCTTCTGTATACCAGTGACCTGCCCGCATTGATTTCCTCCACATGTTCAGCTTATGCCGACGACACCAAGATTTACAATACTGTCGTAAATTCTGCTATGCTTCAACGAGATCTTGATACTGTTTGTCAATGGTCAGTCAGTTGGCTTTTACCCTTAAATCTAACCAAGTGTTGTGTCCTTCACCTCGGGAAGACAAATCCGCGATTTACATACAAGATCTCTGACCACAACATCGAAGCAGTTTCGAGCCACACTGATCTGGGCGTTGTAGTCAACGATCGTCTTTCCTGGTCAGAGCATATTCACCACGTTACATCAAAAGCCAAGAAACTTCTATATATGCTGGAGAGGTCTTTCAAAGGATCCGATGTCAAAACTTGCGCCTACATTTACAAGGCATTCGTGAGGCCAATTCTTGAATTCGCTGGCCCGGTATGGGACACTGTGCTTCTGCGCGATAGAAATCTCGTCGAATCAGTACAGCGTCGGGCTACTCGTATCCCTTTTGGAGCACGAAGACCAAGCTATGAAGATCGCCTTGAATTATTCAACCTGACCTCATTCTCTGAGCGAAGACTTCGTGGCGATCTTATAGTTACGTTCAGGATACTTCATGGTTTGATGGGCACCAACCTCATGCATCTATACCATCTGTCGCGCAGCAATCTACGCGGACACAGCTTCAAACTGCATAAGGAGCCATTTAAAACAACAGTCCGACAGTGGTTTCTTCCCAACCGCATACTCAACACCTGGAATAGCTTACCTGAAAGTGTGGTTGGTGCTACTTCAGTTAATAGCTTCAAAGTGCAGTATGATAGCTGGAGGAGTGTACAAACTTTATAGCTGTGAACTGTATTTTTTTTATTTTTTTCTATTTGATGTATTTGTGTTACGTGTCCGTACACTATATTTACTGCATGAGCTTATAGTACTGTGTACTCTGCTCATCTCAATTATCATAATAATAATAATAATAATAATAATTATATACCTCATGACAAATTCAATTAAGCCGTCTGGGCTGTAGTTCGTGAAATAGATATCTCAAAGTTATTTCCCGCGAACAATTTCAATCAGATCCGCTCTGCCATTTTGGCGAGACTGAGTAACAAATGTCCACACTTTCTCATTTATAATATCAGTAAGGATTACACATTCAAAGCGATACTATAGATTTTCCGACATATTGTTCCTAGAGAAACATAAGTGCCTGTCTCTTGAGTACGTGTGAACATCAATAACTTAATTGTTGATTTGACGAAAGATTGAGCGCAACAATCTCATCCTCATCATAACTTCCCGTTTGGCATCAAAAGCTTTGGAAGGTTTTGTAGGAAAACCATGTATAAGACTGATCATCATCCCTCATGGAAGACATCCTCACTAAGAGTCTCCGATAACCACAATAACAGCTTCATAAGGAAACAAAGGAAAAGAAAAATCGTCAAAGTTGATGAGCCTTATAATAAAGAAATAACCGACAGAAGCAGCAAATATTTCACGGCAATAATTCGAAAGAGAAAAATAAATCGCTCGAACCCAACGGAGCGCTGTAACTCGTATCTCAGACAATTATCGCAGGCAATCTGAAGAATAGCTTTCAGCAATGTCTGCTGGAGAGTATTTTATCAGAAGTGTTATCAATAAGTCGATGTCATGTGCAGCTAGCGGTTGCCCTTTACGCCATATTAACCCATTTAGTGGCGACGTTGCCACCCTTACCCCCACGCTTTAGCTGTCAATTGCAGGGAAACAGGTTAAAGCGATGATACATTCCCAATACAAAATTCAAATTCGTTTACGATAAGGATTTTATAGCTTTCTACTTGCCCCGCCTACCGGCGACAAAGTATTATAATCTCGAATTTTGGAAATGAGACATGTTTTTTGTATTCCATTTGACATATATATATCACGAAAATCCATTTCACTCATTTCCGTCAGCACATCTGTCAGTCTGTCAGTCTATCCTTGGAAAGTAGTGTTCGGATTTGGATGAAATCTTACACAAGTTTGCTTCTATTACTAACTTGGGTTTTTGACGTTTTAGAGAATCCTGAAACATTTTTTAGAGGTAAGAAATTTTGGGGAGGGGGTTGTAGGGTGTATCGCACTATCAACGCACTTCCACCACCCATAATTCTACGCATATTAGACATGATTCACACATCATGTTGCTCACACATTCACCACCAGGCAATTGTAAATACTGCTCGGTAGCAGGCTGCCCGGTGACGCAATATGCACATACAAGGTGGGCGTATAATCAGCTATCAAACATGGTTGACAAACAGTATTACACGAGAGCTCCAAAGAAATGAGTCTACCTTGTACGGACACGCTCATTACGGCAATCCGAGGAAACTTTTCTCTACGAAAAGCTCAAATAGTGCTCTATATGTTTCGGACAAAACTCACAAAACATCTAGGTATTCCAAGTATGTTAATTTGTGCCATCCTATTCACTAATTCGTTGCCATGTGCCAAAATCACGTAACCTTTTTTTACTATTTTGTTCACTTATGTTACTCGTAATTAGAATTTCTCTTCATTAATGGTAGAGTGTCCATTCCTAGGCCAAACCCTTTTCAATGATTTTCTTTTGGTAAATTTTATAGTTTATAGATTGTATAATTTCACACGTATCATATCTTTCTTTCTCAGTGATTCAGCATGGTGTTGAAAAAAAATTATGGGTCTTCTCCGTTATTTTTTTCCTATCGAACATACCTTCTTCAAGGATACTCATTGAGCCTTTTGTTTTATAAAGCTAGGTGTTCCGTGTCAGTCACTTTCCTACTGAGATAGTGGTGTGAACCCCTCCAGATTCTAGGATATTAGGTCCCGGACACCAGTTTGTAGAGTAGTACCCCTTCATATTGTACCTTACGCGCAGGCTGAAGGCTAAATGCCAGGACACCGCGGTTGCCATTAGGTGTACTAGGTTATTCCGATTTTGAAGTATCTAAGGTTAGTAGAACTGAGAAGAGCCGGATAGTGATAATGGAGCGGTCGTATCGGCCAGCTCTGTACATACGAAGTTCGACAGGGATAGGTGGGCTTGTCTCGTTAGCATAACGGTAGACGAGCTGGATCGCCAACGGCCTGCCGGTGCGAGAGGGTCCCGAGACTGTCTGTTTGAGAAGCGCCATCGAGCATCGAGCATGGATAATGTAGTCAGGCCGGCAGGGTAGGTCTTATCTAGGCCTTGTACAGAGTGAGGAGGTCATGTGCAGTCAAGTACTTCTAAGCCCTAAGCAAATAGCTCAGCTTTTTCCCAGCAGCTGCCGCTATTGAGAGATGTGTTTGTGATGTGTTAAACTAGTGATATTAGGTAGTGAAAAATTGCGTTGTTTGATGAATATGTTTTCGTTATAATTCATTTCCTGAACAGTGCTCATGTTTTCAGAGCATTTTGAAATTTCGTATTCACCTTGTCTAGTTCTGTGGCAACATCGCCTGGCGCAAGCGATGGAAAATTACAGTTCCGCTATAAAAGTAATACAAGCCTGTTATGGTGCGAATGACACCCTCTAATATAACGTAGCGTTTCCTCTACTTCTTATTTATCTGACACTTAGATCGAGTTGGCTACTGCCATCGGCACTGCGCCATACCGTTGGGCCACCGCCGAGCCTTTGATTTATATTTTTCATGCTGCAGATTAAATAACTGGGATTTTCATGAGTTAATAACTCTGCTGGATGGAATCTTCCGTGAAGTTTAAAAGATATTGAAGTATATTTTGAGACGCTGAAGTATCCCAAATTGAGTGATGTTTATTCGCTTACAGTTCGCTAGACGAAGCTAGGATTTGAAGAGGGCCGATAAAAAAATGTCTCACAAAAAGCATATAGGTTATACATCATTGTTCATTGGTTGATTAATGAAAAGCGATCTTGAAGTTAGGTTTGTCAGTGAAATGTATCCCTGTCAAGTAGTTGTTAATTTTATGCTAATTAATGCTTCTCGGATATAAGTTCTAAATATCCAAAATACGACAACATTTTATCACGTTGACGTATGTATATTAATTTTTACACTATCAGTCTCAGGCTCGAATCAACAAAGAATTTTTCAACTGGGCATGATCCCTTAAGACTGCGATTTGACATCAACGCCACCCTCCGCACGAGCGATGTCTACAGTCGATTTTGTCAATATGTTCATGATACTAAATAAAGATAACTGCACTCCGTATATCGTCGCCATGGGCTAAATATTCCATTATACTCTTTTTGGTAAAGTCGACACCAAAGTATGAACAACAGTTTATGACTCGATTTGAATTTTTTTTCTCATTTTACAGAAAAAAATATTATGAGGTCTACTGTGTAAAATTTGCAAAATCATGACATGGATACGAGGGATGTCTTTTAAGTTTTGCACATAGAAACATAGTAGGCCGTGCGGATCGAACGTCAGTACTGAATCTTAACCTCACTCTTTAGTAAACTTAAATTCAAAGTTTCACCACAATACGTGCAGTGTTCTCACTACAGTGAATTTTTAAGTGTCACCAAGTCATTAGAAAAATGGAACTCAACCGAGAACATTTTCGCGCCATAACTTATTACAACTTTCAGAGACAATTATCGCAACAAGAATGCCTTGCTGAGTTACTGTCTGTTTTCGGCAACGAAGCGCCACATCAGTCGACAATTTCCCGTGGGTATGGAGAATTCGAACTTGAACGGGTGAGTCTTAGCGACGATCCCAGGGTGGGTGCACCAGAAACGACAGTCACCCAGTAAAACATCGATGCTGTGCGCAAACTCATCATTGAAGATAGACATGTGACATATCGCGAGATTGAGGCGTCCTCGTAGATCTCAAAGACCTCAATTAAAAAAATGTACATGAAGAATTCGGAGTAAGAAAATTAGTTTCTCGTTGGATACCCCGCCTGTTGACTGAAGAGCAGAAAGCAGCCAGGGTTAATTGGTGACAAAAAACGCATGACCGTTTCAATTCCGGAAACTCAAAAAATGTGTACAGCATCGTTAGTGGTGATGAATCGTGGATTTACTGTTATGAACCAGAAAATAAATGACAGTCGGCTGTTTGGGTGTTCCAACGTGAAGAAAAGCCAACAAAAGTCATCCATTCTCGAAGTGTTTCATATTGCCACAATTCCTCTTAAAGAGCAAAGAACTGTTACTGCGGATTGGTATACTACCATTTGTTTGCCAAAAGTCATCACCGAGCTTCGAAAAATGAACCCCGAAAGAAGAATCATCCTCCACCAAGACAATGCAAGCTCGCACACAGCCCAAAGAACAAGGCAGTATTTAACGGAAGAAAACGTGGAATTATTGGACTATCCTCCTTATAGTCTCGATCTAAGTCCTAACGATTTCTTTACTCTCCCGAAAACTAAAAACAGACTGCGTGGTCCAAGGTTCCAGTCACCAGAAGAAGCAGTTGACGCATTCAAAAATGCCGTTTTGGATCTGCCATCAAACGAGTGGAATAAGTGCTTTGAAAATTGGTTCGAGCGAATGCAGATGTGTATTAATCTTCGTGGAGAATACTTCGGAAAACAATAAAGCCATTTAAAACTACCTAGGGTGTTGATTTATTTCCATATGCAAAACTTAAAAGACATCCCTCGTACAAGCAGTAAACAAAAATAAATTATTGGAAAATCTTGCAAGTCAGGAAAAAAGATCGTGCTAAGAAAAGGGAAAATATTTAAACATTAATTCCCGAATTACTCCAGATAATATTTACTGAAAAATAGCTTTATGTTAACTTAATGCATAAAACGCGACATATTGTTTAAAACTGCTACAAAATGTGCTTCCCAGGCCTACTAGCAATGAGGTATCGTAATTGCAAAAAAATTGAAAACGGGATATTAAGTTTTTTGGATGTTATATGACATTTTCATCACGAAAAAACATTTTCGTCGATGAGTCTGTGAGTCTGCCCGCTGGCTCTTGGCTTGTCTACTTGGAAAGTAGCGTTCGCATTTGGATGACATTTTCACACTAGATTTCCTCATAGATTTGCACTTTGAACAACTTTCGACACACGTCCTTGCTTCTGCCGTCAGTTAACTGGTGGGCTTGATAAGTGTTCTGGCATTACTGCGCTGCGCCGCGCTGCCGCGTTTGACGAGTCATGCGGTCAGGTATCGGGGAAGGGCGACGGTGCCAGATTGACGGTACTACTGGTAGGGTAAGGAAAGGATGTTCATGGACTAATTAGATGAGTCTGACTGACTGACTTGGTCCGTTCAGTTGTACTATTATAAGTGCTCGCAGCTGCCTTTCTTTTAAGAGGGTCCAGCTTGTGCTGAACTTAATGCTATACGAACTGATAACGGTGTTGCCTGGGAGGTAAAGAGTCAACCTACTTGCCGTCATTCGTCATACATGCATACGTGACCCAAAAGATGTCAAATATCAAAAAATTCAAGTTTCTTAAACAAAGTTTTGACTACAGTCTTAATCAAATAGAAATGCTATTGGAAAACCGGGCACACCACCTAACGCAAAATTCACAGTTATCTCTTATCCGGCTTGCGTCAGACAGAGTGTCCTGAAAGTTGAGACTTTCCTTTTCGTTTGTAATACCAAAGCTAATTTGTGACAAAACAACACTGATAACGTAAAAAAGGAATTGAAGAAGAATGCTTCATTTGGTATGGAATTTCAAGTACCGCCATATCACATGTATTACACTCCTTGCATTTTCCAAAATTTGCAACGTTTGGGGCTGTCTAGGTCTTCAACTTTGTTCAACCAGGCAGCTCTTCACGATATAAACAAACATATGCAGCTCCGATGGAAGTAAACATTGAGGACGACGGCGACATTCTGAGTACACTCGCGGAGCATCAATAGGATCTTGAAGATGCTCTTTTCAATAGATAACTACGTTATTGCTCTAGGAAAGTGCCAATTTGTAAACTAGGCTTACTTAGACATCACGGGGATTGGATACAGACTCACATTTCTGAGTACATCATACGTTTTGGTATATATGTTACTGAAAAGTACATATTATTGCCTGACCTATACGCTCTGTAGTCCCAACTTTAGATTGAGAAATTGAGTAGTGAGACTGGCTCTTAGTTTAGTAAACTATTTTTTCTAGGAATGTACAAATATATGCCTCGTTCTCGTCAGCATCAACCATGCCACTGTTTGGTGAGAAGGAGGCTTGGTTGATCCGACGGAAATTGCCTGTCCCTAAAAGCCTTAGATGTTCATTCGGCAAATATATGAATTGCTGGATTATACAAATTTTATAGAAGGCGAGGCTGGGCCGCTGTTATATGAAAATTATATTCAATAAATCGTACCGGTTTATGAGAATGTTTCCCGGGAAAGGGCATCTGACATCGATGTGAGTCTTCTGCCGCTTTGATTGGCCACTCGGTGTTTTCATATTTCCCTTGAATATTGCTCCGGGCTGAAAATGCTGGGGATTTTCAAGGAAAAATATGGAAAAATTCATTTCTTGAAAGAGTGTTTCCTGCTGCCCAATCTTTTATTTTGGACTCAGATCTTGTAGTTGCTATAGAGACACCATTATCATACCTATGTGTATGTTAGCTTATAGTAAACACTAGCTAGTAAATAAAAGCAGGCTGGTTTAAGTCTAGAAATTATCTCACACGTATAGTCCTGTAACTTATAAAATAACTCACATCAGTTAAAAGTTTCTTCAATGTTTGGAAAATGCATGTTTGATCAAAAAGGGAATAATGATTTTCATCTTATATCTCTGGAACCAAGGATATCCTAGGTCCAGTTATCATTGAAAGATTTCCTTCGTCAAGTAATAGGCTAGTTGATACTGTCTTAAGTAGGTCTTAAATAGTTAATATTTATCCTACTAGACCAAAAAATTAATACTAAATTATTTTCACGCCCAAAACGCCGCAAAACTTTAATTTAAAAATGTAGTTTTCTTAGACAATCAAAAACGCTGTCCGACATATTTGACCCATTTGTTAATGTGGTCTGACGTCGTACAATTTGTAAATAGCAGTTGAAAGCAGCATAAGCTCTCAAACTTTTGAACGGATAAACATGACTTTTACTTGTTTACATGAATAATACAGTAATTATCATTATTGTATTTTCCGAGAATGTAAAAACACACCTATAAAGACCTCAGGGAAGCTGTGGATTAGAGTGCCCAGGGAAATAAATATACGCAACACTGTGTATTGCCTGCAGCAACCTTATGTTCGGGACATATTTTACATTCTTAAGTGCAGATTTTATCGCCCCGTTTGAGTTGGACGTCACCTACGGCGTCATCACAGTACGACACCCTTGCAGATGTTGAAGAAGAAATATAATATTAGGTAAAATTTCTCAGAGGTTACGATGCATGAGCTTAATTTTAAATGACTTCTGAAGAGAAAGATTATGTGAGTGTATTATTTATTCGTCCTATTTATAAATATATATAAAAAAATAACAACCCTAAATGTGTAAATTTTCGCCAAATCTGTGCTTTTTGCTTTTACGAATCGGACGACCATGATTGTTTTCTCCATAAAACTACAAAATGATAACTCGTTACCTTGATTGCGAATCTTCCAGATATGCTTAAGAAAGACAACGTTAGTCTACGAGTGACGTACGAATGACATTTCTTTGTTTACAATTCGTATAACGTCACATCATGGCCGATAGTGCTTTCAGCGTTTCATATTAAAAATAAAAATATATATGTTTTTAAAATGGACTTATATTATTTATATACAGGGTGGCGCATCGAAAATGAAACAGACGCATTTACTGTCAGCTCAGTTTTTTTTTTTGGAGAAATGCTCAGACCCGTCAATTTTGTTTTCGAGGGGACACAAGTTTGGCAAAAAATCACGTTAACACGTGCAGCCCCCTGGGCTGGGGTGACACCAACCCTAAAATCTTAAATGGAAAGGGAGGTCGAGTGATACCTTATTTTAAAGGCCTTTCAATTCGCTTTATAATGATGTATAATACATGAGCTTCAGTCCAGTAGCTTTGAAGATTTATTGATTTAAAGCTTAAAGTAGGCTTTAATAGGTACACACATAGTTTGTACTACTTTCAGAAAAAAATTGACTAAAAGAATTTACTTAATAAGTAAATGCTTTTCTTCACTACGCCCATGGTTTGTTTATCATTTTGTTGTTGAAAATAGCTGTTGGAGCGTTTTTTGTGGCAAAAAAGTTATTTCTAGAAGAAAGATAAGGAAATATCTCGTACTTATTTTAAATAGGAATTTAGTGCATGGTTTGCGATTGATTTGACCAAACTTTGTTGCTAAAATAACTTGTAACGCTTTATTGCATAAATTAACTATGGTATATTCCACAGCAGAAAGAGTTGAAATTATCGAAATATTTATCGGAAATAATCAGTGTGCTAATAGAACAGCAGAAATATTTAATGAGCGACATGAGAACAGTAACGTGCATCGGAAATATGATCTATAACTTGTAACTAAATTTCGGGAAACTGGCTCAGTCGCCAATAAAAAACGTAACATTGAAAATCCCATGAGGAACGAACAGGATGGTGCCCCACCACATTACGCATTACGTGTTCGACAATATTTAGATCAGACGCTTCCAGATCGATAGATTGGTAGAGGAGGTGCCATTGAATGGTCCCCAAGATCGCCAGATTTATCACCTTTGATTTATTTATGAGGTCATTTAAAAAGCAAAATCTATGCTACTCAACCAACATCATTAGAAGACCTACGACAAAGAATTGTGAATGAGTGCCTCCAAATTACTCCTCAAATATTGCAAAATGTGTCGCAACGTATTGACCTAAATCTTTATTATTGCATGGAGAGTCATGGTGGTCATTTTCAACATTTACTTGCCTAACGGATCAGTTCATTCTCCATTTTTAAATTACTTTGCTGCCAAATGTATTGATCTCCACTAATGATGATGTATTAGTTTTATTTAAGCTTTAAATCAATAAATCTTCAAAACTACTGAACTGAAGTACATTAATTTTATATCATTATAAAGGGAATTGAGACCTTTAAAATAAGGTATCACTCGACCCCCCTTTCCATTTAAGATTTTGGGGGTGGTGTCACCCCCGCTTAGGGGGCTGCACATGCTAACGTGATCTTTTGCCAAACTTGTGTCCCCCTCGAAAACAAAATCGACGGGTCTGAGCGTTTAAAAAAAAAACTGAGCTGCCAGTAAATGCGTCTGTTTCGTTTTCGATGCGCCACCCTGTATATATCCTTACGCTTTTAGAAATTGAAATCGATATTTTTCGTTTTGCAAATCTCAAATATAACATATAAATCCGAACACCCAGTTTAAATGGTTTTATTTTAATATAAATAACAAGTGAAAAAATTTTCAGCCTTATCAGTTGGACATTCCGGTTCTTATACTGCTTTTTTTTTAATTCACTAACGCTCTAAAAATCAATATTTCAGCCGCAGTAAAGAATCAACGTTTTCGGATTTTGGTTCTTGACATCCTTTACGATCGGTTACGATGCCTAGAGTACGGAGACCTGTACGATTTCGTCAACTTAGTGAGTTTGATATTGGCCGTATAGTGGGACTTCGGGAAGGTGGACTTTCTTTTCGGGCAATTGCAGTTAGAGTGCAAAGAAGTGTAGACACTGTGGTTAGGTGTTGTCTGGCATGGCTTCGAGAAGGCCGTACGCAAAGAGCAAGGGGCACTGGACGCCGCCGTAGAACAACAGACCGTGAAGATCGCCGCCTAAGATTATTGGCCTTAAGGGACCGTTTCTAAACTACCAGGTCCATTGCAAATGAATGGTTCGCAGAACACGGAAGACCTATTGGCATGCGAAGTGTTTACCGACGAATGAGAAGTTTTGACTTGTTTTCATACCGGCCACACCGGGTCCTTCCTTTAACTCGAGAAAACCGACGTAATCGCCTTGAGTGGTGCAGACAACGGTCACTCTGGGATCAGGAATGGAACAGTATTGTCTTTAGTGACGAGTCTCGATTTTGTTTAGGCATGCTCGATGGTCGTGCCAGGGTTAGAAGGCGACGTGGTGAAAGGAGGAATCCACAGTTTTTTGTTGAAAGACATGTTCATCACACTGTTGGAGTTATGGTTTGGGGTGCTATAGCTCATGGTTCCAGGTCACTTTCAATCTTCATCAGAGGTAACATGAACGCGCAGCGTTATATCCATGAAGTTCTAGAACCCCATCTTTTACCCTATCTTGACACCCTGGCAGATCCAACTTTCCAACAAGATAATGCCCGACCACATGTTGCAAGAGTCACAATAGACTTTTTTCAACATAATGATGTCACATTGTTACCATGGCCACGAAGATCCCCCGACTTATCCACAATTGAGCACGTGTGGGATATGATGGGTAGGAGATTGCTCAATTTGCAACGTCCTCCTCAGACTCTAGAAGCACTTCGAGAGGAGTTGGTGGTTGCCTGGAATGAGATACCACAGGAGGACATTGACCACCTGATCAGAAGCATGCCTAGGCGCGTTGGAGAATGCGTAGCATATCAGGGTGCATCCACACATTATTAAAGGTCAAAGGGCTTTAAAGCAGTGCAATCATTTTGAAATTTTTATCATTTACTTATTATGCTTCATTAAGTACTTATACAAAATTTTATTAAAATAAAACCATTTAAACTGGGTGTTCGGATTTATATGTCACTTAGTATACTTAAAAAACACTCATTTATTCTATATACCATAATTAGATATGAGTCAAGTAGCCTGTTGTTTAAAACTGATAGCTCTCAACAAATGTCAAAATGCAGATAACTAGTTACACATACATAAATTTTTTTTTCGTTCGTTCATGATGAGGAATTTCTTATACTATAGAGTTAGTGCTAATTTTATGGTTAAGAAGCATTGCATAAAGAGACTTAGAGGCGAATTTGAAATAATGTGAAGTATTCAAGATGTCCGAAAACTTTGTTACTGTTAATACAGTTAGTGGGGTATAAGTAGCACAGAAGAATTTGTTAAGAATGAGATATTTGAAAAATAATGGTGATACTGTCACCGTTTAATCCCTCATGTGAGGGCGGGACGTTTGTGCGGTGGACGGCCTTGCCCTGCTTCTTAGAAACGATCAAAGAGCAGCATGTGTCTAGGCAGTATGTTGCACCAGTACAGATCTGTACCCCAGAGCCAAACTAGGTTAGATATTTTTGTCAAGAATGAGTTTAACATGTTAAGCTTACGATAATATTGTGAGTTTTGATTTGCTACATGCAGCGTCCATCTTTCTGTAATTATAAGGAAGTTCCGACTTTTTAACTGATGTCACATCCCTTACAATACAATAAAAATATTTAAAATACAATTATCTCAGGACTACTTATTTGGACTTAGCCTAGTCTGGCTCTGAGGTACATAGATTTGTCACCCAGAACATGTCACAAATATACTATACACAATATCGAGTGGTTGATGAAGTTGAAAAGTAGCACTCCACTCCGGCAAGCCAGCCCGTATACATGAATTGCACCACTAAAAGGCACACGTTAACACGTCATTAAACTTGTTTTATGCACGAAGTTTCTTACGGCGCATTTGGCGCTATGGCGCAGCTCGGAGACTGGAACTTTTGAAAGCCCGAACTGCAGTCGAACGCTGCTTTCACGAATCAATTCTAAACTTATTAATCCCCTTAACTACCTAATTTAATTTCCAATTTTGGCTAAAATACTGAATCGAATGTCGAATCGGACTGACGGTGCCGGTGTGGTTCAATGAAAGTTTCCTGGAGTTATATAATTCAGATATATTTGTCGTTGGTTCTCGGTGGATAATCCTTTCATGGTGAAGTTTGGTCGAATTTAGAGCGTTATGTGGGCTCATAAGCCCACATAAAAGCAAAAGAAAGGCTTTCCTGGCAAACCGACAGTTCGTGCCATCGTACTAGAACGTGAGAGGATAAAACCATAGCAGCTTCAAGAATTCTAAATTGGACACTTTACCTTAATTCCTCTCCATAGTGTAGTAGCTATAACGATCATGAAACTCAACCTCTTCTCCAAGATCGCCAATGATATCTCCAACATGTGTGAACCCGACCTAAGGTGAGAGAGAAAAGTGTTCCCTTGAGTCTGAATTTAAGATCAGATTAAGTTCAAGATCATATAATTTATCCCTTGTCAGTTCAAAAGATTTCGTACTTACTTGCTGAATTCAATCATGACTATATGATGGTTTCTCTCTGAAAAGAGCACCTTAAAATAGCAAGTGACTCATTTTCATATGTGTCTGTGTTCCACTGAGCTTCAATGAGATAATAAGATCTCTGATAGATAATGCTAGGAGATAGCTTAGTATATGAGTACCTTACACACTATCTCAAATGTTTGATTTACAAGTATCCCCCGACAAAGTCTTATTCGATGAGAACTATTTTTCAGAACGTGAATACCAATTACAATTGCATCTAGGAAATGTTATTGTTTATTGTTACTCTTTCTGTTGTCTAGCAATAGAAACATTAGCACATATCCTTAAGACATTTGTAGAGCGACAAATGTTGTTCATGAAGCAAGAAGTGCTTTTCATGAATTCCGTAATGAGCAATGGAGCAACATTTTTGAGGGGATGCTCGACTCAACTGTTCCTCTCTGGAAAGTTGTAGGTCACCCAGAAACAGGAAGCGAGAACAACTTCCACACACCCATGGTCCTGTGGGTCACTAGAACAGAGGAGAATGTCGAGGTTTTAGCTAATACTTACGGACCGCTCTGACAGACAATGACGAATAGACTACAGCACATATTGAATGAAAAATTACGGGACAATTAGAGAAACAGTGTTGGTCAAAGGACAAGAGGTAACGAAATGCAGAAGAAACCCAAGGTCAATGGAGATAACAGCCAAAATTATAAAGTCATTCCATGAAGCGTCTTCTCTTGATATAACTCCTATCTGATACAACTCTCTAGAAATACTTTGCGATGAAATCTACATACGAATGCCCTCTACAAATAATTTGTGATGCAAGTGATTTCTGTAAGTCTCATTTACTCCCCGGAAAACCATCATAAGCTCGCGACGTTTACATTTTCGCCCTCCTATTGGCCAGTTTGCCCTAGATACTTGAGCGTGATAGCAACAAGCCAATGAAGGGGCGTTGGGGTGCTCATATTCGTTTTAACATGGATGAAATGAGGTTTGAATACATAATGATCAGGATGGATCCTATCGAAGTGTTTTATTCAAAAAAATATCTTTTTCGAACATATTGTCTCTAAATCAGAAAGATTATTTGTATGTATTTTGATCCCAGTTATTATAGTATTAGCAAGATTCATCGAATTCAAATTCGTGAGTTGGCTTTCAAAGTACAGGCAATGTCAAGGACAAGATCCAGTTTAAGATCAGTTCTAGTTAGCAGTATGGTTCTTCAATTTGTATCTACACGTAATATTTACGTATTTAGTATCTACTGTCGGTCCTCGCTCCAAGCCAACGTGCATCTAGACTATAATCAAGATATACAAGGTGTTAATAAACTATGACGACAAACTTTAACCATCGCATCCTTGGTCAATTTGAAGTCGAAATTTCCATATGAAGATGAGCCCGCAACGGCTTTGTTTCCAAGCTAGAGCATATTAGCACTAAAAGAAATGATGATATTGTTATAAAAAAATATAGAAGAATGGAACGTATTTTATTCTAATTAAGTATGCCCTGTGGTGAATATCACATGATTTACAGTTTTCAGACCCTCCATGTACGTATACGGATGATGCTATCCAGTATTTTCCGAAAAAATAGCATGACATTGATCTGTTTTGATCGCATTACTTTTAATATTAGTCATGTCTGACTAGACAAAATACTCCGGGTACTTTCAGTAGGGTTCGTCAGCCAATGTGTAACAGACTAGATGCCTGTATTAAAGTCGATCTATTCGATATTTTCTAATGTTGTCGTTCTACTCGAATGTTACTGTTCAAAACTATTGACCTTCTAATAATTCTTTTTTGAAAATACAGGATAATACTATTTTCATCCACGTTCGTATCGAGTCTCAGCAACTTGTAAAACATGCAAAATTTATCATAGGTTATACCAACTGTTTCATTATTCATAGAAATATTGCACGAAAAGGAAGCCGTTTCGGATCCATGTTCATACGAACATTTAATCTTCAAATTGACCAAGGATTCGATAGTTAAAGTTTGTCTACATACTTTATTAACACCCTGTATATAGGACAGTATTAGTATACAGGGTTATCCAAATTAAGTGTCCACCATTAGTAACTTTGTTATTAGTGAAAATACAAAGTTGTTTGAATTAGCAAACTAGTAGCATTTTTAACGCTGGTAAAAATGAGAATAAAAAAAAACAATTGAGAGTCGTTATTTTGAAACCCCTGTATATTATATTTTTTTCTGTTAAAGCATCAAATTTTAAACAAAAAAGTTCATAATGACTTTTCCGCTAAAGTCAAAAATAAAGTCAAAATAACGATAAATATTTTTAATTATTTGCTGTATTATAATATTAAGACGGCTATGAAAACAACATGGCGTTCGCGATTTGACAGCATTAAGATAAGCGACAAATTGTTAAACTGGACATACTCGCAACTAGAAGGCTTTGGAAAACAATGATAAAATCAAATAATGTCAAACATTAGTGTAAATACTTGTTTATAAGCTTTATTGTGTCATTAATTTAAAGAAAAATGTTCTCCCATGAAGAAAAGTGTGATATGTTAGAATGCTATTTAGTGTGCAGAAAATCCTCCTTGAGAGCAAGAGAATACTACAGTGAATTATATCCCGCTCGCATTCAACCGTATGAACGATATTTTCTGAGACTTTATCGAAAATTTAGGAGCAACGAAAATGTTTTTGCTAAAACAAGGGCAAAAAAAGAATTCATAATAAGCGAGGCCACGGAAATTGCAGTTATTGGATATTTTGAAGCTTGTCGTGAGAATTCAATGGCAGATATTCTCAAGGACTCTAATTTCAGTTATGGTACTGTTCAAAGGATTTTAAAAAAATACAAATTTATTCCGTATAAGTACCGACCAGTTCAAATGCTTTTGGCAGGGGATCCAGAGAGAAGACTTGTTTTTGCCATTGGTATCTTAGCTTCTGTCGGCAAAATGTAAATAACTTTCGTTACCTTTTATGGACAGATGAATCAAATTTTTCAAATTCTGGAATGTTTAATAGAAAAAACCACCATTATTGGTCAAGAGAAAATCTTTTGTTAGTACATCCAAGAGGCCCACAAGTCCGTTTCAGTTTCAACGTTTGGTGCGGTATAATTGGTTCAAAAATTGTTGGCCCGTTCTTTTATGAGGGAACCCTAACTGGTGAAAGATATGTGGAATTTATGTCAGAAATTCTGACTAATTTCTTAGACGAATTGGATCTTATAAGTAGACATCATCTGCATTTTCAGCAAGATGGCGCACCTGCCCACAACTCCAGAGGTACTTATCATTTTCTAAGTACTACTTTTAATGATCAGTGGATAGGAACAAATGGCCCAATACAGTGGCCTCCCAGATCACC